CTAAAACTCCTGACTTTTTGTACATGATCCTTAGGTAGTCAGTACCCTCTCTAGGACGAACAGTGCTCATGAGTGGTGATTACTTTTCTGAGGCATTTAACACAACTGATCATATTCTCTCTTTTAAAATCACCTTCTCTTTTGCTTTCTTATACATTGTTTTCTTTGTTTGCTTTTGTTTCCGCTCCTGCCTTCTTGATAACTACTCCTCAAAATCCATTTTTTGTTCTTCATGCTCTCTACCCATAGCAAATGCTAGTATACTTTAAGGTTCTATCTTGGGCCCAATCCTCAATCTATGGTCTATACCCTGTTGTTTATTTAGCTTTATTTATCAACTATAAATCTATTCATTAATGACTCCTAAATATACATTTCTATTCCATATCTTTCTCTTGAGTTCCTGACCCATAGTTGCTGATTTGATTTCCCCATTTAGATGAGCCATGGGTAGCTCAAAATCATTTATTTATTTATTTATTTTGAGACAGAGTCTCACTGTGTTGCCCAGGCTAGAGTGCTGTGGCATCAGCCTAGCTCACAGCAACCTCAAACTCCTGGGCTCAGGCGATCCTCCTGCCTCAGCCTCCCGAGTAGCTGGGACTACAGGCATGCGCCACTATGCCTGGCTAATTTTTTTCTATATATTTTTAGTTGTCCAGCTAATTTCCTTCGACTTTTAGTAGAGACGGGATCTTCCTGACCTTGAGTGACCCACCCGCCTCGGCCTCCCAGAGTGCTAGGATTACAGGCGTGAGCCACTGCACCCGGCCTCAAAATCATTTAAATGCATTTAAAACCTAAATGATCTTTTGTACCTCTAACCTAATTCTCCTCCTTTATTTGTAACATTGACTAATATTACCATCATCTACCAAAATAATTAATTCATTTAAAAAGTATTGGAGTGTTTAAAATGTATGAGGCTCTCTGCTAAATTCTAGATGCACTGTTCTCCTCCTAGCCTTTCTTCCGGCACTCTTGATAAATTAGTAACTGAATTCTATCGATTCTATCTCCTGAATATATTACCTCTTATCTCTATATCCAGTGCGCTGCTTTAATTTAGGAGCTTAACATCTCTTTCTACAATTATTTAAACAGTCTTCTACTACTCTATCTACTTTAGTAAGTCTCTATTTTAATCCATATTCCATGTTGTTACTGTAATTATCTTTCTAACAAATGACTCTAATTATAGCAGAGACCTAGCTTCACACCTAGTATCCATTTTCCCTTCCTTCCTGATAACAGACCCTATATTGTTAGAGGTGATAATATACCCACATTACAAAAATTATATTTTGCAGACTCCCTTGTAGATGGAGTTAATTTAGACAAAAACAGATAGGTGGGGGCTTCTAGGAAAAACATTTAAAGGGAGCTCAGAGATATACCCTTTTATCTTTTCCTCTTCTTCCTTATTCCTTCCTAGAACACTGACATGATGGCTAGAGTTCTAGCAGCTACCATGTGACCATGAGAGTGAAGATATAAACCACATAGTAAAGATGGTTGAGTTGAGAGTCTGGTGCCCATGGACACTGCATAACCATCAAGTCAGCTCTTGACTGCCTACCTCAGGACTTCATATTATATGAGAAAAATAAACCGCTATCATGTTTAAGCTACTGTTATTTGGGCAGTTTTACTAGCTCCCCTTATTA